CATATACATTTACAAGCGATCAATATGTTGTAGCAATGCGATGCTTGACTCTGTAACGTTGTCGAGTATTTGCTACTTGCCTAGCAACAAACTGGAACCCCCATCACTAATAAAGGCTTTTGATGTTCCAAACCGGTTAAATATATCCTTGTGTAGGAATCACATAACTGCTTTGGCATCACTTGATGGAAATGCTATAACTTCAACCTATTTAGACACATAGTCTAAAGCAACAAGAATGAAGAGGTTGTTAGAAGATGATGGATATGTTCCCATAAAATCTAATCCCCAAACATCAAAGATTTCAATTTCCAGTATAGGCTATATTGGCATTTGATTACAATGAGAAATGTTACATGTTCTCTGGAAGCGATCACAATGCTACAAGAAGTCATTAGCATCCTTGAATAACAATGTCCAATAATAACCACACTGAAGGACTTTTGTTGTTGTACGCATGCCATCAAGGTGTCCATCGTATGGTGTGATGTGGCAATAATGCAAAATGCTTTGCTTCTCACTCTCGGGAACACATCTTAAAAATTGGTCGTTATATTACCTGAAGAGGTAGGAATCTTCCCAAAAGTAGGATTTAATATCTCGCACTAACTTCTTTTGACCTTGATGATTAAGATCTGTTGGCAGTATACCACTAACTAAATAATTCAGAAAATCTACATATAATGGTAGAGGATCGATGGCCATCAATATCTCATCGGGGAAGACATATGATATCACAAGTGTTTTGCCTTCCTCACTTCCGGATTCCAAGCGGGACAAATGATCAACCACTTGGTTTTTAGATCCATTTTTATCTCGGACTTCAATGTCAAATTCCTAAAGAAGTATTACCCACAGAATCAATCTTTGTTTAGTGTCTTTCTTAGCAAATAAATGCTTCAGAGCTGAATGGTAACAATTACCTTGGTTACAACCAAGTATGGGCTAAATTTGTTAAAAGAAAACACGACAACAAGCAATTCTTTTTCGATTGTGGAGAGCTGAATGGTAACAATTACCTTGGTTACAACCAAGTATGGGCTAAATTTGTTAAAAGAAAACACGACAACAAGCAATTCTTTTTCGATTGTGGTATAATTGACCTGAGTATAATTAGTGTTTGGCTAGCATTAGGGGCGTTCAAATTAATCTGTTACCGTTAACTGTAATGATTAATCGATGTAACCGCTATACTTTATAGATTAACTAACCGAACCGTTAAGGTTTAACAGTTTCAGTTAACCGAACCGCTAAAAATATCAGTTAACGATTATGGTTACGGTTAATGAATTTTTATAAATGGTTAACTATTTGTTAACCGTTAATGAATTATAATTAATTAATTAATTATATTTTCAAGAGAATAGAATTAGAAATAAAATCAAAATGATTCCTCCTATTTTTTAGTTATCATTTTTATCTTATATAGGAGCACATTAAATCAAACATATATGAAAGAAATACATGATTTTAAATGATAAAATATAAAAATACATGTAATATTTTAAATTATAAAAAAAGAAAGATACCTCTTAATATATATTTCTATAAAATAAAATAAATTTAAAAATAAATAAGATTTATAAAAATATATATGTGTATATCGTTGTAAATTTAATAAAATTTTAAGTTGTGTTATGTTTTGAAAATATTGTAATAGGTTAAACATAGGCTATCCTATAATCGAACCATTAATAAATATTAACCGCTAATGGTTAACTAATACTTAATGGTTAGGTTATGGTTAACAAAATTTAATAATTGTTATAATAGTTAATCGACCGTTTAAACTTAATAGTACGGTTAACCGACCATGAACACCCATAGCTAGCATAATAAATAACATGGAAGACTCTCTCTTTGTGTTGCTCCAGCACTGCACATGGTCGCTAGCATCACACATCAATTCAAAAGGTAAACTCCAGTCTGGTGCTATAATAATATGAGCATTGACATACTTTGATTTAATGGTCTCAAAGGATTTAAGGACTTCAACATCTATCACGAACTTCTTATTTTGCTTCAGTAATGAGCAAAAGGGTTTGGCAATTAGAGAAAAGTCTTTGATGAAACTTCGGTAAAAGCCTGTATGTCCTAGAAAACTCCTTACGACCTTCACATTGGTGGGAGGAGGCAATTTATTAATAACTTCAAATTTGTATTTCTTTACTTCAATGTCGCATTGAGAAATACGATGCCACAACACTATACCTTCAGTCACCATGAAGTGGCATTTTTTCAAATTCAAAACTAAGTTGGTTTCTTCACATCGCTTTAAAACAACAACCAAATTAGCAAGGCATTAATGAAAGTCTTACCCAAAAATTAAGAATTCATCCATAAATATTTCAAAGTAATCTTTAATCATATTGGAGAATATCGTAATCATACAATGTTGAAATGTTGTTGGACCATTCCACAGACCGATTGTCATCATTTGAAATACAAAAGTTCCATATGGGCAAGTAAAGTTAGTCTTACAGTGATCTTCAAGAGCTATGTCAATATGATTATAGTCTCTATACCCATAAAGAAAGAAGTAGAAATCTTTTTAACAAGTAGATCCAACATTTGGCCAATGAACGACAGCGAAAAGTGATTATCCTTTGTAGCTTTATTAAACTTTCGGTAATACATGGAAATTCACCAGCCCGTAGTTGTGTGTGTAGGCACCAACTCCTTCTTCTCATTGGCTACTACAGTGATGCCTTCCTTCTTGGAAACACATTACATGGGGCTTACCTAATTGCTGTCAGAAATGGGGTATATAATCCCAACATTCAACCACTTAATAATTTCTTTATGAACAACTTCCTCCATGATTGGGTTTAACCATATTTTCTGCTCTATTAAATTATTATTAGGTTTTTCCAGCAAAATCTTATGCATGTAAAATGTTGGACTGATTCCTTTAATGTTAGTAATGTTCCAAGCAATTGCCCTCTTATGTTGGTTCATAACAGCAATCAAACTATATGCTTACGATGCTATGAGCTTTGTTGTAACAATGAGTGGCAAGGTCTCATCTTCTCCAAGGAATGCCTATTTCAAATGCACGGGCAAAGATTTAAGCTCAAGCTTAGGAGGCTCTTCTATTGACATCTTTGGCTATTTAATAGGTCGATTAAGAATTTTTAAGGATTCAAATTATTGCATAAATTTCCTTTTAGCCACCTCATTTTCTTCTAGTTCTTTGATTGCTACAACATTAGCAGTAACAACTTCATTCATGTTGTAGCTTTCCTCCAAATGCCCCCTTCATATAAACATCAATAACATCAATGTTATTGCATTTAACATTACCATCTATATAAGAAAATTTCTTTAAGACATTAAAAGTGATATATTCATCATTTAAATGCATTTTAGGTTATCCCTTTTCAACATCTATAAGAGCTCACCTATAGCAAGAAAAGGTCAACCAAGAATGATTGGAACATCTTTGTCAGCTTCACAATACAATATAATGAAGTCGGTGGGGAAAATGAATTTACCTACTCGCACAAGTATGTTTTCCACTATTCCACTAGGATATACGATGGAATAATTGACAAGTTGCAAAGTCACGGTGGTGGGCCTTGCTTCTCGGCCTTGCTTCTCTACTTCCAAACTTCCTAAAATTAAAAACCACATAAGATTAATGCTAGGACCTAAATCACATAAAGACTTATAGAAAAATTGATTACCAATGCTACAGGGAATAGTAAAACTCCATGAGTCTTTGATTTTTTGTGGTAATTGGCTAGTAGCCATGGCGCTACAGCCTTCGGTAAGTGCAACAATTTTGAACTCACCTATCATTTTCTTTTTGGAAAGTTTTTCCCTCATGAACTTGATGTATTTCAGATTTTGTTCTAGAGTATCAATCAATGGAGTGTTGATTGTCAATTGGCGAAGTACATCAATAAATACCTTGAATTGTTGATCCTCATTGGTTTTCTTGAATCTTTGAGGAAATGGTGGTGGAGGTCTTGGATTTGGTTGATTTAGCACGTGCTATGGCATCATAGGTATGACAAGAGGTATTATCTAGGGTGATGCTATTGGTGTTGACCTAGAATTACTACTTTGTCCAGTATCCCTTGTAACAACATCTGGAATAGGTACATGTTTTGCTACCTCATTGTCCTTGGTCTGTTGAGCCATCATCTCATCATCATTTCTTCTTATTTTCAGTAGCGGGTCTCAAAAGATGGATCCCAGTTTGTGTGGTGATGGTTTTGTAATGCTTATTGTAATGCGCCTTCCCATGAGCCTTAGGAACTTCAGTATCGCTGGGTAGCATCCCTAGCTGCTTATTGCTCAAAACATTATCTAGTTGTCCCACTTGGTTCTCCAATACCCTCAATGATGCTAACTGGCTTACCATATATTTCTTCATTAAAGCTTCAAGTGAGTTCAGTTTGGCAACTTGATTGGAATTTTACCTTTGTTAGGGTTGTACTAGTTGTTGATGTTATGGCATCATTTGTTGCTGATTGTAAGCTACTGCTAATTGTTTCCACAATGTTGCGTGTGGTAACGTTTTGGCTCATTCAAGACAAATTGAGATGGTTTCTATAACTGGCATTGTATGGATTTCTATAAGTGTTGGCATTATCAACCATATTTAAATTTCTCACAAAGCAAAGAGATTTTGGGTTTTATGAACATTCTTCATAATTATGTCATCATCACAATAAACACAAGAGTGATGAGATGCATCTTTTTCCTCATACATGCCACCCAAATTTTGTAATTTCTTTACTATATCAATCAATGCTATGATCTAGGAGGCCATTGAATTCAAAGCATCAGTATTTGTTGCTGTAGCATTATGTCTCGAAAACATATTCCTTGCATTGGTATATTAGTAGTAGTTATTGGAAATCCTCTCCAATATGTCATATGCTTCATTGTGTGACTTTTCCAACAGTGCTCCATTTACTGAAGAATCAACCACCATACGAGTATGTATGTTTAACCCATTATAAAACATCTCCATTTGCATCCAATGGGGAAAATCGTGTATTGGACACTTTTGCAGCAACTTCTTAAAACACTCCCAAGCTTCATACAAATTCTCTTCTTCAAGTTGCTTGAAGGAGGTCATGTCATTACTCAGTTTTGCATTCATATTGGATAGATTGAATCGTACCATAAAATTTTGTTTAGTTTATTCCAAGATGCTATAACAACTAGTGGTAGGGAATTGAGCCATGCTCTAGCTTTAGCACACAGCGAGGAAGGAAAATAATTTAAGCTTTAAAGCTTCCTTAGGAACTCCTTGTTGTACAAAGAAATCACACACCTCCATGAAGGCCCTAAGGTGTGCTCTCAGATCTTCGATAAACGAACAACTATATTTCCCTATGGATTATAGCATTTGAAACTTCATTGGCTTCAATTCAAAGTTAGCAACTTGGATTGTTGGCTGCACAATTCCAAGGTGTAGATCACCCGGCGTTGGAAAAACATGCTCCTTAAAAGGTCAGTTGTAGTCATCCATGTTGAAGTACGATTATTGCTCAGCTCTAATGCAAAGTGGCATTTCTCATTCCTCAGCATGATGTAATGGTGCCATAACATTGTGACTGTTTTCTTGATCACCCATGTTGACTCGATTACGGTTGGCTTATCTTCAATGATAATGGAAGGTTCTTTCAACTTCAGGATCTAACGATACTAGGTTATCACTATCATAATTAAAATAATGTACTAAGTTAAGAATGAAAGAAAATAAATAGAAAAGAAAAGAAACAAAGTAAGTAGATGTAAATAAAAAACTAATGCAAACAATTGATCCTTAACAACGGTGCCAAAAACTTGATACTGATAATAAATCCTATAGTATAGTACAAACATAAATTATCGTATCAATGTAATAAAAGTGGAAGCTACTAGGTTTTGAATGTCGAACCCACAAAGAGCTAAGAGTATGTAAAAGAGTTGTTAGAAGTGTTTTGTTGAAAGTGACATGAAATAGAAGACAAATTATAAAAGGGTAAATTTCAATAATAAAGGAACCAAGTCATGCTACAACATTGAGTAGAACATAAGATCAACCATCGAATGGATTATAATGATAAAGGGGAATTTTTACTATAATCATGTGTTTAAATCCATCACTAAGTATCTAGCATATATTAATTTTAATTAATCATTTAGAATCACCTTTCACTAAATCAAACGATTAATATATTAACTATACCAAATGCTTGGCAACATACATATCAATATGTAATATTGTTTCTCACAAACCCAAGGCCAACAAATATAGCATGAATATTAATATGTATATTTCTAAAATATACGAATTAAAATTCTTGAGATGATAAAATTTCTTAAACCATTCAAAAGCTAAGTTTATATCTAATAACAACCATAAAATAAAAAAAATTCAAACTATCCTAGCAACTCCCCTATCTCAGGTGGAGGGAAAGTGTAGTTGAAGTGATCTTGGTTGATTGCTGATGTTACTCGACAAAACCTCTCCTTGGATGTTGCAGCACTCCATTGGATGAGCGGCTTAAGCAGTCTTGGAAAAAGATGAGAGAATTTGTGGAGAATATTTGCAGAGTGAATTGTAGAAAAACTGATACTCAAACGAACAAATGACCCTCCTATTTATAGGTGAAAGAAGCCATCCTCTCTCTAATGAAATTGGTCCACGTATCAGGTGCTGATTGGAGATAACAATTGTCCGAGCCAGTTGTCCCGTTCCAGAATATTCTACTAAGCACTTGATGACTCATCGCTTGTTGCAGCCTCTATTCAACATTATCTGTAGCTGCAATATTTTTGTACCTTTTTCGACAATAAAAATAAAAATAAGTCCAAGATATACAAAATTTCTCATGATACAATATGTATGAAAATTTAACAAAAATAATCCTAAAATGCTTCTAAACATGCTTAAGTTCAAACTAAACCTAGGTACAAATGATTGATATGATAACCTTTTTGGAGAGTTGTCAATAATTCAATTATAATTTGCTCATTTTCAACCTTGGGGTGTGACCCTACAAGTTCCTGTAACATCAGTAGAAATATTAGAACCATTAACATTACAAACAATGAGTAACACAGAACAATATATCATTTTCATCTAAGTTACAAGAAGTTATGGTTCACCATAACCTCTTTGTGACTAGCTTCTATATGTATTATATCATTTTGTTCTTTATGTCTAGAATAGGCATAAGTCCTAAAATAGTCACACTTGTACTACTCATCTAATGTTTCTTGATATATAGAGTAGACTACAATAAACGAACAACTTGTGATATCTCATATCAAATTGTTCGAGCATGGCCATGCATTTATAGTCTCACTCAATCAAGTGGAATGTGATATAATTTCTATTTTCAAGGAAGGAAATATCCTATCATGATCATTCACATCCTACTACATATATTGTAATTTGTTCAACATCAGTCTATATAATACGACTAGTTACGGAGCATGTTTAACTATATCAAAACTAACAGTATATATGTAGAGATAATAATGATATCAAGTCTAAAGATTATTTGTGTAGTTAGCACCATGAGCAATGCTGTGACAATTATATAATAATTCAGGACATATGCTCATAGTGGGTCAATCCAATATGTCGTTCTCTAACAACATACTCATGTATTGATGCAGAAATCTCTATGTCAATGACAACTTGTTGTCATGAATCAACTATATGTTAGCCTTGAATGTATTATTATTATTATCCATGCCCATAATATTGCTCAATTAAGGATCTTTTAATAACCATCATATTATTATATGGACTTCATTATCTTTCAGTTTATATAAGAAATATAAGTATAACTGAAAAACAATGATGTCAATACCTTTATTCAATAAACACAGTAAAGAAAAGTATATCGGTACAATAATCTCATGATCTCATATCAACTTGTCGTGTCGAATGCTTCATTAAGGGATAAAAAATGTTATCATCCGTGTGTACTCTGTATATTTCCACATCTCCTTGATCTATGATTTATCGAATAAGATGGAAGTGCCTTAGAATATGTTTGGATCATTGATTAGATCTAGGTTCCTTTGCTTGTGCAATAGCTCTATTATTTTCACAACATAGTTCTATAATATCTGATATGATAAGAACAACCCCTAGTTGGAATATGAACTTCTTAATCCAAACAACCTCTTTTTTAACTTTACTAATTGCAATATATTCAACCTCTATTGTAGAATCAACTACTATGTCTTGTTTTAAACGTTTCTAGCTCACAAAACCTCGATTAAGATAAAAAAAATAGATTATGATAGTAAGTCAGCCTTGTCAATTTGGAAGCTAGCATTCATATAACATTTTATGCTAAACTCTTATTCACCTCCATATACTAGAAATGTATCCTTAGTTCTTCTAAAGTACTTCAGGATATTTTTAACTGCAACCGAATGACCTTCACCAAGATTTATTTGATGCCGACTCGTTATGCTTAAAGTATACGAAATGTCTGGTTGAGTATATATCATGGGATACAAGATATAACCAATAGCCAAAGCATATGTAATCTTATTCATTTGTTCTCTCTTGTGGCGTTGAAGGACACATTTCCTTCGAGAGTAATATATCATGTCTCATAGTTAGAAATCCTTTCTTGGATTCTTTCATGTTGAACATTTTTAGCACTTTATCTATGTATGTACTTTGACTCAGACATATGAGTCGTCTTGGTCTATCTCTATAATAACTCCCAAGATATATGCTGCCTCACCCAAATATTTCATAGAGAAGCAACTACTTAACCAAGTTTTGAAAAACTATAAACTAGGTATATCATTTCCTATGACGAGTATGTCATCTACATACAAGATTAGAAAGTAAACAATGCTCCCACTATCCTTCTTATAAACATAAGACTCATCTTTATTTCTAATAAAACCAAACTCTTTGATTGCATCGTTGAAACAGAGATTCCAACTTTGACAAGCTTATTTTAATCCATAAATAGACCTATGTAGCTTACAAACCTTTCCAACATCTCTTGGAGTAACAAAACCTTCTGGTTGCATCATATACACATTTTCTTCCAGTTTCCCATTAAGGAAAACTATTTTGACGTCTATTTTCTAGATTTTATAATCATAGAATGCCGTTATTGCAAGAAAAATTTGAATGGATTTAAACATAACAACTGGAAGAATATTTCGTCATAGTCTGTACCATGAACTTGTCGGAAACCTTTAGCGACCAATCACCCCTTGAATGTTTTTACATTACCATCCATGTCAGTTTGTTTTCTTGTAAACTCATTTGCACCATATAGGTTTAACCCCTTTAGGTGGTTCAACCAAACTCCATACTTGGTTTACTGGCATGGAATCCATTTTATATCTCATGGTTTCAAGCTATTTCTTATATTTTAGACTTAACATTGCTTCATAATAAGTTCTAGTCTCATATTGGTCCATAAGAAGTATGTCTTCATGTGTGGTAACGATAAATCCATATCTCTCAAGTACATGGCATTCTCTTGCAGACCTTCGCAGTGATTGTGTTTATAAATTTGTTGATTGTTCCTCAACAACTTGTTCAACCTCCAATTCAATGATATATTATTCTTAAACTTCTCAAAGTTTAATGTTTCTACCATTCCCTTAATTCGAGAGAATTTCTCTTTCAAAGAAAAACTTTCGTTCTAGCAACAAGCACTTTTTTTTTCACTAGGATTTAAGAAATAATATCCTTTAGTTTCCTTAGGATATCAAAAAAAGATGCATTTTGAGATTTAGGTTCTATTTTTGTAGACATAAGATGTTTGACATAAGCCTTGCAACCCCAAATCTTCATAAAAGACATATTGGGGCACTTCCCAGTCCGTATCTCATATGGTGTCTTTTGAACCGATTTACATGGAGCAAGACTTAATGTGAAAGCAATTGTTTCTAGTGCATGTCCCCAGAAAGAAGCCGTAAGATCACTGTGACTCATCATTGATCAAACCATGTCTAATAGTGTTTGATTTCTCCTCTCAGAAATTCTATTCTATTATGGTGTACCAAGTGGTGTAAGTTGTACTTCATTCCAATCAAAAAGCCTTATTGCTCTTTCTTAATTGGTTATGTACTTCATTTTTAAATTCTTTGAACTTTTCAAAAGCT